TCCTAGCGCTGGCTCCAATCCAAACTCATGGATGTATAAAGCAGAGTCTAATTTAGATTCATATGTGGTTGGAAAATTGTACCCATAAGGCTAGGATTATTGTTCCTGAAGAGAAAAATATGGTTGTGTGCTGCAGTGTGCATCCCATCCCAGAGGGAGGGATGAGGATGTAAAGTGTGAAAAGATACAGAAAGTAAGGAGGTGGGAGAGTGGGGGTCCCTCTGCATGCGGAGCTCACCTGATGCAAGTAGGTCTCAGAATCTTCAGGCATGTCATAGATAAAGGCAGTGTTCACCTGCTCCGTGTCCATGGCTCAGCTGAATAGGTTGGTAGTCAAAGAATTTGTCTTTAAAAATATTTTGGGGTCATTCTCCAGCAAGTGCAGAAGTATAAAAAAATTTAGTCACCTGAGGTGCATTCCTTGGCTTCCTGGCCAGTTTTCCCAAGGCCTCCACTGCCAGCATGCACCCTGGGTGCCCTCCACACTCTCCGAGTGTCCAAATGTGTGTGAGGAGGTTAAGGGCAGGAAGAACTATTGGATCATGGATTGAGGTGCCTTTTCCCACCTCTGGAGGTGGCGAGGTGTGGATTCATAAGCTGGCATTGAAGAGATCACTGCCATTTGTGAACGTTTGTTTGGTCACCAACAGTCATGGCTGAACCCTGAGAAGGAAGAGAAACTTGTCTAAAAAAAGTAATTGTCCTGAGAAGAAATCTGTAGAAATACCTGCAGGTCGATCACTAAGGTCATCTCAGAGTGTGACATGGGGTCTGGCCCGACTCACGAACCTTCTCCAATATGGAAGTAGCAACTCCATGCCAGCCAGGACCTGAGAACCTCTCCAGGTGCTCAGGGGCCAGCAATTATGCAGCCTGCCATCTGTGCCTGGCACTTCCTTCATATGTCTGGCTGTCCTTGGAGGGCTGAAGTTCAAGGAGTCGGGGCAAGGAGGTGGTGACCAGGCAAAGCTTGAGTTGCAAGAAGACATGGATATGAGGCCATCCTGGTCATTGTTGCCTGATCAAGGTCTTTGTTCCTTGTGGTGGCAGAATTCACCGCGTGTTAATTTTTCCTACTGTAATGAACGTGAACTTGGGGTTGACGCACTGATACAATAAGGTTTGCTCTGCTGCAGTAGTGTTGCCTCCGTGTAAGAGAAACAAAGGCTTCAATATAACATCTGCCTGTTTATCTTAGAGCCAAAGGGCTAACAAAGCATCTGTGGGAACACAGCGGCACACACCCCAGTCAGGACCCCACAAGGACTGAACCAAATGTGGGGTCATTAGCTTTTCCTGGCCTCAGATAGGAGTCTCACTCTGCCTCAGCCATGACTCCTATACCATGTGCATGTGGCAGGTGTCTGTGTGCCCAGCAAGGACACAGTTCAGAGAGCTTTCTTCATTACCTAGGGTGTGTGGTTGGAAAAAAAAAAAGTTGCCTACGTCCATGAGGCTCTGGAGGGAAGCATAGAACCTACTACTAAATTCTTCCGGGCTGACCCATTTCAGGCCATGGTTTCCTCTGTATCAAAGTTGCTCTCTCACTGATCTACTGACAGTTAGCCCTTAACACAAGAGTGTGTGGAGCGGTAAAATCCACGTCGACCTGAG